ATTCGGCAGGAAGGCATGATAAATACATAGCAGCTTTTGGTGCATGGCAATGGAGAACAATCCTATAATTAATTTGAATCAGTTGTGTTCTCTGAGAGGAATTTCCTCATCCATAGCATCCTGTGGTCTCTTGCTCGGTAGCCTGGGAGGTGATTTCTGGTCCATTAGCTTGCAGGTCACTCTAATGCTGTTATTGGAAAGTATGTCTTCTTGAAGGCTAAATGCTTTGAAGTTTATTTCCTGTTCGGCAAGTTTAGTAACTTGAATATTATTAAAAACAGTCCAAATCTTTTTTGGGGTACTTAATTTCTTCAGCATTATAGTTGCATCAAAAAATTTAGTATGCTTCTGACTTATTTGCTTCTTAGTTCTATGTGCCAGTCACCGCATTCAACGACATTTAGAACTAGTTTGTAAATCTGCTTTATTTCCTTGCTTTCTCATCTTCATCAAGGACTTTTTTTTTTCTATTAGGTTTTTGCCATAGAGCAAGTGTGCTTGCAGTAGAGAGACAGAGAGAGAGAAAGAGAGGAATCACCCCCGGGGCGGGGGGTAGCCACACCACAATCCCTTCTCCTCTTGTGATTTTAGGTATCCATGCACATGTGCCCAGTGTGAGTTTCAAGCCACAAGGTCCAGAACTCTAACTGTGGTAGATCATGTGGGAGTCCAACACCTTAGCCACCATGCCACCTACGGGACCCTCCATCAAAGACTTTTTTTTTGGAGAGTTTTTTTTTGCTATAGGGCCCTTGCGCTCGCCAGACAAACAGAGAGAGACAGAGATATAGAAAGTGAGAAATCACCCCCCCAGGGGTGATGGCCACGCCGCAATCCCTTCTCCTCCATTCTTGTCTCTTGGGCATGCGCGCACACGTGCCCGGCGTGAGTTTTAAGCCACTGGGTCCGGGACGCGAACCGTGGTCGACTACATGGGAGTCCAGCAACATAGCCATTATGCTAACTGCTGGTCCCTGTCCATCAAAGACTGTTGAAATTATAATTTTGCTGAAATAAACCCACTTGGAATGTTAATATCTTAATTCTGTGACCACCTCTACCCACTTTCCCAACTCAAATCCTTGACCTCATTTGTACCAGTAATTACTACCCTTTGTTATCTCAATTTCAACCATCTTGCTGTCTGATCATTTCAATCTTCTACCTCATTGAGACCCAACCACCACTTATCCTAACCCCTTAAAAGTTTCTCTTCATTCCTTCATGGTTTCATCTCCCTCTTTATCTTGCTTAAATTCCATGGTGCCCCACTAAAATCACTTCCTTATAAATGCTGTCAGTTCTTCTGTTCCTTGTCACTTTGTTGTATTTCTCTGGCAAAACCTCACCATTGTCTAAATGTAGTTCTTTGCCTAGTCCACGCTTGAACCCATATATCTGTGCATTTTTGGATAAAACTATTTAGTCCCTTAAATTTATAATCCAACCCCAAGAGGGCCCTTAATGCTGTCCACAACCATGCTGCAGACCCCGTGTCCATTTGTCAGTCTACTCTTCTAGGAAACACACCACATCGTTCCCTCTCAGCATGAGCCTCTGAGACCTCCGTTCATCTTCATGCTAGACTTGAACTTCGCTTCCTTCCTCGCACAGTACAAGGGTTTCAGAAGGCAACTTTAGCTCCTGTCCTGGTACCTACTTAGCTTCCTAGCTTCATCTGTGTTCATCTGCTTATTCTGCCTTTCCTCGCCTTATTGTGAGTGAACTGCCTGTACTTCTAAGGCCAGCCCACCCACTTATATGTTAGGTCTCATCCTCTGTCACATATTTTTTATTGCCATCTTATAATAAATATCAATATTTTACTTATTTATTATTTGCTATTTGTCTACCACTACTAGAAAATAAACTGCTTAAGGGCAGGATTTTTTATCTTTTTTTTTTTTTCACTGCTGTATCCCTAGTGCCTGGAATACACTGAGTAGGTGATAAATAGATATATAATGAATAAATAAACAGCTGAATTAATAAGTGAATAAATATCTTTCTACTACCAGTTCAGGAATTTTTCCACTATACTTACATGATAAATTTTAAAAAAGGCTTGTACTGTATGTTCTTTTGTTAGAAGTTTTATAAATAATTTACTAGATTATCCTTTCTTCATAGCAAAGGTTACCTATTCTCCAGGCATCAAATCCTAATTTGTCATTGAGTATTAAAACTATCTCAATTGAATATATATGACAAAAAGTAATACAGAACTACCTTCAAAGTGCCCTTCATGGCGCACAGCGAATCAGAACTGAGTCAGAATACATTTTAGCTGCTAGTTATTGTAGACTTGCATTTTGGCTGCCGGGCAATGGTGTTTCTGCCAACCTGAGCTGTATTTTTATGCATTATGTGTTTGTTAAGCATCAGCACACGGTCCAGACATGTGTCAGAAGCATTTAAAGGACAGACTGTGATCAATTAGAATATACAACCTCAATGTGACCTTCATTTTTGGCTAATTGTATGTTGATTACTACTAATCAGCACCCTATTTGAAGTGAACAAATTGGTCTGATAGAGGGAGAGAGTAAAAAGCAGTTTAATATATTGTTTTTTTAATAACACATTTTTGTATGGAGAGGAATTTGATGCAATTCTCTCTAACAAACCACTTTTTTCTTACCCGTTTAATCACTTTCTTTTATGTGTTGCATATTATATGTGCAGTATACGTAGTTTGTTTATGCATCTATAAATGCAGAAATTGTCACAGTCCCACTTCAGTATTTTCGACCATTTAAAGGCTGTGGAACAGCAGTGCTTTCAGTACTCAATTTTATAAACCCACTTACATGTATCCAGTAGGGGAAGTAGCTCTGTTGTCTGTCGATGTCATGTGAATGAATTGTCAAAATCTAAATGTCTGTGAAATATCTTCTAATATATATGTTAATGGCTTATTCAGCTTAGTTCCTATCAGAGTGAACGTTTGACATTTGAATTGATAACAACCCTCTTCCAAAAACTGTAGGCATGTTGGATACTGTGAATGTCCTTAAATAGTTCTTCAGCTTTTTCTGAAAGATATCTGTGAGGTCTCCAATATTTTCTCTAGAGGTTCATGTGTATGTGATTGTGTGTGCATGTGCCTGTATTTGATTGTGTGTGCATGTACGTGTATGTGATGGTGTGTGCTGTACATTTATGTGGATGAGAGCCTGAGAAAGATAAAGTACATATGGAGATAGGTTGTTTATCTTGTCAGATTTCTAGAAGGAATTCGACCGTTGCTCGTATAAGGCTGTATTAAAGGTGAGCTATGAGGTCTCCATTTAGTTATCCTGCTGCTAACAGCTATGGTGCTACACAAATTGCCTGATGTACAACAGGAACATGACTTGAAAGGTTGGAAAGAGGTAGCTCAGCAGCAGTGGTAGCCCATTGGGGTAGAGGTGGGACAGTAAGAATAATTACCAAAGTATAGTAGGGAGACAAAGCAAGTGAAGGCTGAGAATGACTTTACAAGGAGGAACAGAGTGTGAGGAGAGATATGCAAGGGTTGACTTCAACTCACAGAGCTTAATATGAACTTTCTTTCTTTTTTTATTATAAACAAAAGCAAAACCAATAGAGTGCATTTTCCTTGATTCTACCTTCTCTCTGGATTTCAGTTGCTCTGCAGTAGCTGCATGGAGTTAGCACAGTGATATGGTTTGGCACTGATAGGCCCCCAAAGTTCATTTAATATAAAATAATTGCATAAATGACCTCTCTGCTCTCAACTAGATGGTGTTAGTAAAATACTATAATAATGATTGACTGCAATAAATAGCCTTAATCTTGTTCATTCCTTATGGTGATAAAATCTCAATTATATTTTGAGGATTGTCATTGAGAATTCACTGGCTTGATAGTTATTAGGGGCATAAGTTACCAATATCCAGGGCATTTTAAATTACTGTCTTGTTCATACACAGAAAAGGAAACAAAAGCCTAATTTTGAATATGCATAAACTATACTGGCAAAATTAGTCTTGAATTTTACTATTATCTACTAATTTGAAAAACAATAAGAAAATATTTTATTAAAAGCCCATCACTGCCCTGTGGTCACATGAATCTACACATGATAAAATTGTATGGAACTACATACACATGCATACACACATATAAATGAGTGAATATAAAACTAGTAAAATCTTAATAAAGTTAGTGGATTATAGCAATATCAATTTCCTGATTATAATATTGTGTTATGCAAGTTATTACCATTGGGGAAAACTTAGTGAAAAGTTTATGCAATCTCTCTATTATTTCTTACAACTACATGTGGACCTGCAATTTTCTCAAAAACAAAAGTTAAAAATAAGTCCATCATTGTACAGTATCTTGTTTTAATATATTATCAATATCAAGAACAGAGATTCAAATTTCATTTTTTAAATGAAGACTAGAAAATGGACTTACATGTTTTTGCTGGAAAATACAATATGAATACTTCTTTGGCTTATTCAGCTCATTTGAGTTCACATTACCATATTCTTTTTCTTGACAGATCTGTGTCTCCAGGTGCCCAGAAAAATTTTTAACCTATATGGAAATGCAAATTTTGTACAGAACAAACAAGAGCTACTGGGACTACTACCGTCAGTTCTGTAAGACCACTGCTAAGCCTGTGAAGGTATATGTGTTTAAGTTGGAAACTAGAGAAGATTCTAACTTTTGTTTCAGTCTCAAGTATAAGTATTTGCTATTAGAAAAGCTCCCAAATCTTCTAGGAAATAATTACCAAAGTTACCATTCCATTAAAATACAATGCACATGTCCACTGGCAAAAATACCCCCGTCATGGAAAGCATATTATTTCATAGACTCGGGGTGTCATGAAGGACTATTAGTCTGGTAAATTAATTCCAACTATCCCCTGACATGAGCACATTCTCTACTTGGATGGATTTTTTTTGCTGTAAAGAGCTGGGAGCTAATGTCATTTGCAGTCACCATTAATGTGGTAATATACCCCCTTAGCTATGTAGTAACAAGCAGGATTTTACTTTCACGATTATTATAATAATTACATTAAAAAAAACACCTAACTAGGTTTGATATTTTTGAGGGAATTATAATTCTTCATTATGTTAATGATATTAATGGCTTCTAAATTAGAGGTGATGCTGTTTTTTGAAAAAAAGAAAAAGAAAAGAAAAAGGATAAAAAGGATTAGAGACTTATGTCGCTGAAACAAAGATACACACCTATAGAAGTGTGTATTGGTTTCAGAGTGTCTGATTTATTATTGTTGCTTCAATTGAATTGCAATTAGACTTTTTACGAGCTCTTGCCAAACAAGTATGTATGTGCGATAATCTTATAATTATCATTATTAGGAGAATTATTATTATGAGAGAAATAATTTGGAACAAAGAGATTATTACGAAATAAAATTTAAAAAATAATTTTTGCCAGAATGTGTATATGTTCACCAGAGAGAGACCCCTTCATGGGGCAAGCTGCTACCTTCTTCCTCTCTCTCTCCCTCCTTCCGGATTTGGAGCATGCACACACATGCATCTAGTGTAATTTTCTTTCTTCTTCTTCTTTTTTTTTTTTTTTTTTTTTTTTTGAGAGGTTTTGCTGTAGGGCGCGTGTGTTTGCCGGAAAGACAGAAAGCGAGAAATCACCGCTTGGGGGGATGGCCATGCTGCAATCCTTTCTCCTCCATTCTCCTCTCAGGATCTTAGGCACACACACACGCCCTATTTAGTTTTAGCCACCAGGTCCAGGACTCAAACCATGGTTAACTACATGGGAGTCCAGCGACGTAGCCATTACAACAACTGCTGGTCCCTCCAGTGTGATTTTTAAGATGACAGATCTAGGACTCAAGTACTGCAGTCAGCAACATGGGATCTAGCTACCTTAAACCAAGCCAGGAGCTGTTGCAGAGTAAACAAAAAAAAATTTTAATTCAAAATATTTCTTATAATTTTGTTTAATTTTGTTTGTGACTCTATAACCAGTGTAAAATTGTTAATGGAGGAATTTTATATTGAAGAAATTAATATCTTTATGGCAGCAGAGTGTTCTATCATGTGGCTGTACCATGATTTATTTAACATAACACTGGCACCCAATATATGTTCTCTAGGCCTTTTAGAAAACATGGAGTTGTTCCTCTGGCAACATATATATGAATCTACAAGAAAGGTGATATTGTAGACATTAAGGAAATAAGTACTATTCAAGAAGCAATGCCCCACAAATGTTCCCATGACAAAACTGGAAGAGTCTACAATGTTACCCAGCATGCTGTTGGCATTATTGTGAACAAACAAGTTAAGGGCATCATTCTTGCCAAGAGAATCAATGTGCGTATTGAGCATATTAAGCATTCTAAGAGCAGAGATAGCTTCCTAAAACGTGTGAAGGAAAATGACCAGAAAAAGAAAGAAGCCAAAGAGAAAGGTACCTGGGTTCAACTAAAGCGCCAGCCTGCTCCACCCAGAGAAGCACACTTTGTGAGAACCAATGGAAAGGAGCCTGAGCTACTGGAACCCATTCCCTATGAATTCATGGCATGATGGGTGTTAAAAATAAAATAAACTAATCTGGAACCAGCAGTTAGCATAATGGCTATGTCGCTGAACTCCCATGTAGTCGACTGCGGTTTGAGTCCCAGACCTGGTGGCTTAAACTCACGCGCCTGGCGCATGCATGCATGCATGCTCAAGATCCCGAGAGGAGAATGGAGAAGAAGGGATTGCGGTGTGGCCATCCTCCCTGGGGGGTGATTTCTCTCTTTCTGTCTCTCTGTCTCTCTCTTTCTAGTGAGCACATGCGGCCTATAGCAAAAACCTCTCAAAAAATTAAAAAAAATAAACTAATCTGTGGTCTATAAAAAAAGGAAGAATTTTATATTGAGAGTAAAAGTATTCAGAACCCAGCCTTTGCATTGTTAACATACTCTTCCTCTGTTTTAGTCAATCACAGAACTCTTAATGGATGATGATTGTCCACCAGCACTGTTTCCAAGCAAACCTTGTAAGTGGTAATTATTTTACCTTAGAAACACAAACTTACCAAGACCTTATTTAATTAAATTTCCTTATTTGACAATTGGTGAAACCAAGACCAGGAATGGTCCTATAACTGGTACAAAGTCCCAGAGTTATTTAGAATGAAAGTCAAAGATAAAGCCATCTTCCTGACTCCAGCCAGTGATATGTCCACTGTAGCTCTGTGATTTGGGAGGGGGGGGGGGAGAAGAAAGGGAAGTTTTCTATATAAACACATAAGAAAAAGACTGAAAATTGATCTTTACTTTATTTCATTATTTATTTTTAAATTTTTTTTAGTTTTTGCTATAGGACATGTACACTCACCAGAGAGAAAGAAATCAGCCCCCCCTCCCCCCCACCGAGAGGATGGCCATGCTGCAATCCTTTCTCTTCCATTCTCCTCTTGGGATTTATGCATGCATACTCACGTGCTGAGCGTGATTTTTAAGCTGCTGGGTTTGGGACTCCAACTGTGGAGTAGGCTCTGTGGGATTCAGAGCCTTAACGTCTTCCTGAAAATTGATCTTTAAAATCCTAATCAGTTTGGTTATTTTGTTTTCTACAACACACATAAGCACACACAGAGATATACTCATATACACCCACTCCTGAATTCAGCCAAAATGTTTGTTCAGAAATTGCTTTGATTATATTTGTCTTTGTAATTAAAAATTGAAATATTTATATGTCTCTGAATACATCAATATTTTATTTCTTATTTTTAATTGCCAGAGGACATGTATATTCCCTAGAGAGTTATAGAGACAGAAAGAGAGAGAGAGAGGAGGAGGAGGGGGGAGGGATGAAATATTTGCTGTGAAATCAATTAATTTTTCTGAACTTTTGACATGGCAGATACCCTTGCTTTCCCAAAATTCTCTTCCTTTGGCTGACATGCCCAAATTCTCCCCTACCCTCCATTCTGTTTTTCTTTCCTTCCCTATTTCTTAATTATGAGCGTTTACCTAGAGGGTCCGCTGACCTTGTTTTACGTGTTATTTCTATGCAAGCTCATACAATCTGTTATCTTCTGTTACTAAATATGCTCATTATATGTTTGGAAGTTAGAGAAAATATAAAAGAAAACTATACACATAGACAGTCCCCCACAGTGGGGGATGGTCACACTACAATCTCTTTTCTTCCATTTCTCCATCCTATTGGGATTTCAGACACATACACTAGGCATGCTTTTCAAGCTACTGGGTCTGGGATTTGAACCACAATTGGTCATGTGGAATCTAATCCCCTTCATCACTAAGTTACCAAGCCAGCTCAATATTTCATTTCTTTAAAATTGTCAACTTTACTTAAAGTGATACTCTAAAAGAAAAAAAAAAACACTCATTTTTCTTCTTAAAGATAAAATCTTAATAATGAAGAAAAAACATGAAGATGTTAAAAATAATTATTACGGTGTTTATTTAAAACAACCAAAAAAGAAAAAGAGAAATTGAACAATGTGATATTCAAGAACAAAAGAATGCTTGAATTATACTTAAATTATGATGTATTCCTTAAATAAAATATCTTACTTCTAAAATATAAATATTATACACATGTATGTTGTAATATTACATAGACTATAGAATGGAAACTGTTACATGCCTTATGACAAGCAGTATAAATTAAACAAACTTGAAAAGTCTACTTTTTAAAAAGATTGGGAGGAAATATATTAAAATATTAAGTAGTTGTTTTGGGAATGACAAAACTGTGGGCATTTCCTTTTCTTTATTCTGGTTCTCCATTTTTTCACAATGAGCTTTTTTTCTCTATTCAATTTGGTATAGGGTATGTGTTCTTACTAGAGAGAGACAGAGAGCGAGAGAGAGTGAGAAAGCACTCCCCAGGTGCATGCCCACACCACAGTCCCTTTTGCATTCTCCTTTTGGTTTTTTAGGTATGCATGCATACACGCCTAGCATGTTTTTCAAGTCCCTGGGTTCAAGACTCAAGCCACACAGCTGACCTCATGGGATTCAGAAGACTTCACCACCATGCCACTAGCTGGCCTGAGCTTATATATTTTTTAATGGAAGAGGCAATAGTTACTAGTTTCAATAGAAAATTAAGTACCACTGAAGTAGCTACCAGCAGATATGTGTATTAAATGCTCCCATCACTCTTCTCTGGGTCAATAAAGACCCTGACACAAAGATGTAGGTCCTGTAAGCAACAGCATTTCCTAGGAGTCCTGGGCAATAAGATCAGACACCTAAAACAATGTTATAAAACTCTGTACAAAAAGGTAAAACATAAATCATTAGCCACCAATCATATGACATAGTTCTTGTCCTTATAAGTACAGTTTTGTTATATTACACATTATAAAATGTACATTGGGGAATACATCATATGAGCAAGACATAGTCTCTTACAGCCTGGTGAAAAAGACATTAACATAAACATGGCAATTAAGTTCTATTTCTCCTAAGAGAGGATTAAGAAGAGTGCTCAATGCAATAGAATGCAGCTACCAGAATTCACACATTAAAGGGATTATGAAAGGAAATAAGAAATGTAAAAAGAGAGACACAAGGGAAAGCACAGCATCTCTTGTATAATTTTGACTCTCTAAAAGAAATTATCTTGTAAAAGGAAGACTGTAGAGAAATTCACCAAAACGTTAATATAGTTCAGTGTGGGTGGTAGGAATGTGTATAGTTTTGTATCTTCTTCTTTCATATTTTCTCTAACTTCCAAACATATAATGAGCACATTTAGTAACAAAAGCTAACAGATTGTATGAGCCTGCATAGAAATAATTTGTAGAACAAGGCCAGGGGACCCTTTAGGTGAGAACACTCATATTTAAGGAATAGGAAAGGAAAGAACACGTAGAAAAACAGAAAGGTGGGGCATGTCAGCCAAAGAAAGAGAGTTTGGGGAAGGCAGAAGTATCTGCCATGTCAAAAGTTCAGAAAGTTCGTAGATTTCACAGCAAATATTTACTGAACCCTTCTATGTGCCAAGCGCTGTGCTAGGTAATGTGTTTAAACAGAAGGGCAAAAGAATATCTGGAGATATGACAATGAGAAGGACGTTGAAATGACTAGGAGGATTATTCCATCTAGTGGTGGGATTGAATTGAGAGGAAGTAGAAGCAGCTGGTAGAGGCTATTATGTCAAACTTGCCTCATGGACAGAGGAAGAACAGGAGAAAGGGCAGAGACTAAAGGAATCTGCTGTGTAATAATCAGACTCTAAAATCTGGAAGTGGGTGGAAAAAGCGTTCCTTTGAAGCCAGAATAATCAGAAAATATTTTATAAATATATATGTCTTCTTTCTCTATATCAACCACTTTTAATATTTTCAGGTTTAAATTCCCTTGAACTCATGCAAATCAGTGATGCATCTTATAAAAACAAGAAAATGATGTATGTCTGAATTTCCTCATCTCTTCATTTAAAACTGGGTGTTTAAAATATTTTCAACAGTAGATTTGTAAATATGCAAGGAATCTATTTAATCAAAATAAGAACATAAAATTTTAAACAGCAATTTAGTTCTTTTTAGTAATTACACTGGTCTATAATGTATTGGGCTCTTTTGATAGCTTCGGAATGTCCATTTCCAATCTCAAAAAAAAATGCAAATGAAAAAGTTGAAAGGAGAACAAACTACTAAAATTTCACAAACAAAAATTCAGTAGTCTTCATGGTCTAAAGTTGGAGTTTGTTCTAATTTCCCAAGAAATTATTCACTGATATTCAATTTTTAAAGTTTCACTTAAGGAGTATCTAAAATTTTTAATAACAAAGCTAAACACATTTAGTCTTATAAGTGAACATGTCATTTTTATTAAAATGTGCTTATAAGGAGTAGTCTGTATTAATGTTACTCTTTTAAAACTTATGCTGTGTATCTTCTTTATGACAATTTGATGACTATGCCATGTATAAAATAATCAACAAATTTAGAATATAGCTTTAGGTTGTGATTGCATTTGCTTTCTATTCCAGCCTTAAAACTACCAAAATCTGGGACCAGCAGTTGGTATAATGACTATGTCGCTGGACTCCCATGTAGTCGACTGTACTTCGAGTCCCAGACCTGGTGGCTTAAGCTCACGCTGGGCACATGTGTGTGCATGCCCAAGATCCCGAGAGGAAAATGGAGAAGAAGGGATTGTGGCATGGCCATCCCCCCCGGGGGGTGATTTCTCGCTTTCTGTCTCTCTTTCTCTGTCTTTCCTGCTAGCACATGCACCCTACAGCAAAAACCTCTCAAAAACAAACAAACAAACAAACAAACAAAACTACCAAAAATCTTCAAATCATTAATTAATGGGCAATTAGCTACCTATATTGAACAACTTAGAGGCCTCATAAGGATTTTATTACTAAATAACAGAAAGTTTAAGAAAGGAAACACATCATGAAATAAGTAGTAGAAAAGAGATTACCATAATTTTATTTTACAGTTCTCCGGAGGTGTTTCCCTGACTTTTCTACTAACAATGGTACTTTAACAGTAAGAAGTCAGATACGGTTTCATGATGGAAATGGAAAAACAAGAAATGTTGTAGAACTCAGAGAGGCTGTCAAGTATGTTTGTTTACATTCTTATTTTTGATTTTGATGCATCTTGCTATTGTACCCATGACTGAAGTTACCATTAGATTAAGGCTTATAGGAAAAGAATTGAATATTATTATGAAATGCACATGCCACCATGTGTTGAAGAACTTAGCATATATTCATTTTAAAAAACGCATGTAAAGGAAAACCAAAATGAATTAGAAAGAATAATAATGTTTTTCAAAATGGTTAAATCTTTGGTAAGGATATATATGGATGCTATATTAAGTTTCTATGAACTAATTATAGTACAGTGAACGTACTGTTTCCTTTGTACACATGTAATATTCCACATTCTTGAGAAATATATTTGGGACATATATGTATATGTTTATGTATTTCCCAGAGTGTACATACACACATATATGTGTGTACAAACTTCAATGTACACAGAGTATCATTGATAGTTCATTGTTGAATTAAATTATTTCTCTTTCCTGAAAAACTTTAGCTGTTTCTGTAGTATAGTGTACTTTCCACATATTTAAAATATAATAGCAACATGGATGAATTTCAGAAATAAAATGTCATATGGAAAAAATTCACAAAAGAATAATACAGACACCAGTCCATTGATAAAAATTTTGAAAACAAGCAGAAATAAATTAAATTGCTCTGTGACGTGTATGTAAGGGGAAAAACTAAAAGAAAACGTGGGACTTTAGTATCACAGAGGTCAGGATAGTGGCCAGGTTAAGGGAAGAGGGCTGTGTGCAACTGGGGCACATGAGGAAGGGGCTGGGCTGTCGTAGAGTGTGTTCGCTTTGATAACCCCTCAGACTGCACACTTGTGATCTGTGCACTTCCAGTCAGCGCTCCATCATGCCCCATTGCTGCTGTGCGGCCAGAGGATTAGGAAAGGCAATTAAAAATTATGTCCATTCTTGATGCTATGGACTTTGTAAGTTAAAAACTGATCTTACGATTTAAACTTACCTCTTCCAGTGAGGCTTCTGCAATGTTGAAGGCCTGTTGATATATGGGAAAAGGATCTGTTCTTCATTCTTGAAAACCATATTCACCCTTAAACGTCTGTAAACACCTTTGCAGGTTTACTAAAGTGACATTTCATATATTGTGGCTAGGCAAAGAGTCACTATGGATAAATGGTTTCCAGAACAGTTTGCAAAATCCCTTTTATCAAAAAAAGAACATCTTTGTCTAGTGGTAGTCAAAAAATAATTGATTTTTTTTCCTTCTTTGAATGTAGTGGTATCAATAAAATCCTTGATGCAAGGGCAATTGGACTGAAAGTGTTTGAAGACTATGCAACAACTTGGTATTGGATTCTCATGTAAGTGAAAGCACAGATGCTTCTTATCCAGCCCCATTCTGATTTTATCTGTAGTATTTTCTTCAAATTGTCTGTTCTTATTCGTGAATAAAAAGGTTGACTCAGGTATCACTTCCTGTCATTTTCTTTTTCAGAGAGGGTAAGGAAACAGCAAAGATACTTAGAAATATGCTCAGTGTTGGTAGAAAGTTATAAGAATGTAAATTTTAATTTTATTTATTAAGTCACTTTAAAACATACTCTTATAGGGGACCAGCAGTTGGTGTAATGACTACATCACTGGACTCCCATGTAGTCGACTGTGGTTTGAGTCCTGGACCCAGTGACTTAAACTCATGCCAGGTGCATGTGCGTACGTGCCCAAGATCCCGAGAGGAGAATGGAGGAGAAGGGATTGTGGCGTGGCCATCCACCCTGGGGGGTGATTTCTTGCTTTCTGTCTCTCTTTCTGGCGAGTGCACGTGACCTATAGCAAAAATCTCTAAAAAAAAAAGCAAAAAAGCAAAAATCTCTCAAAAAAATTTTAAAACATACTCATAGGCTTCAGGTCACGAGGAGGCAGAATCTGTAGTGCTTCTGTGTCTATAACGTGTGTGTTTATCACATGTTATAGTGGCTGTGATGGTTATTTTTTTTCTTTTTTGTCCCTCCCTTTACCTCTACAGGATCACTCTTATGTTTTTAATACATTCATTCCACAAAAGGATTACTACCGGCATCACCAAAGATCATTGCCTTGGGTTATTGGAAAAATCATAACGTATTTTTGTGTTTTTATATGCAAAAATGTGTCATGACTTTTTCGATGACTCAATAGTAAGGAGAAGTTGAAAAAAACATATAAAGGGGGAGGAGACTCAAATTTTTCAAATAAATGGTTAACATTCCTGGAAAATTAAGGAAATTAAAAAAAGGGACCAGCAGTTAGTGTAATGGCTATGTCGCTGGACTCCCATGTAGTTGACCACGGTTTGAGTCCCGGACCCGGTGGCTTAAACTCACACTGGGCACGTGTGGGTGCGTGCCCAAGATC